GCGAGGAATAACGTCTCTACTCATACCGCCTTAGTTTCATTGGTTTTGGTTTTGCCCGTGTGACATTTCATCAACATTGGCAAGATCAGTTCATCTATCTTGATCGACGAAAGGTTTCAACTCTTCATACCCACAGGGTTTTAATAACGGCTAGGTCTACCCGTAAAATTATAGGTGGCCAAAGTCTCAAAATCCCCCTGACCATATGATGCAGGGTAATATTGGACCACACCATGTGAGCCACGTTTTGGGGTGAGATTACTTAGCCTACCTGTCTACCAACGTGACCAACGTGCCTAACTGGGCTAGGGCCCAAAATTGGCTGCCATGTAGGCGCTCTAACAGTTGTTTAATGGCACTAACACGAAGGTTTATGTATATTATTTACTCTTTGCGTGACTGGCGCAAGTCACTCTGACCGCTCTGATGAAGAAACAATTCCAGGTTCTGTAATAAGAGTATGTGTAGAGTCTCTCTCCCTCTCTCTCTCTCTCTGTAGAGAAAAATAAGTGGAAAGAGAGGAGGGAGAGTGCGTGTTATTGTATGGATGGTGGCGACGTTTGTAACCAGAATAACTGGTGTTTGGTTGACAGGCCTAGGGCAGGCCTCGGCCTGTGTTATGAATTGTGGGGTACTATGCTTCATCATACAGAATGGCAGATATGATACATATTTTATCATATTTCAGTTAAAATGGAGCAAGTTTTCACTGATTCAACAGACGGATCAAACCATTCAAGCCCTCGAGGAAGTAACGAAGACTGGAGACAGTCAAAATCGAGAGGACAAAACAATACCGACTTTGATCGCGAGAGCGGAGGTTCTATGCAATCACCAGATAGTTTCCCCAGTGATGTTCACGAACAGATTCGAAAGCAATTCTTGGGAGTGCTACAAGGGAAGAAAAAACTTTCTCCAACTCCGAAAGACACATCGGTGTTGCGTTTCGCGCAACTCTCCAACGACTATGTTCGTCTGACAGATCTGCTACAAAATATAGACCCGACGGAACTGAAACAAATCCTGATCAATACTCTTCGAAAGAAGGAAAGTAAAACAATCGTGGCTCTCAGTATATTATTACCACAAAAATCTTTCCCAGCTACCAAAGATGCACACTGTGTGCGGTGCCATAAAAACTTTAATCCCCACAGTAACTTAGTGACGTCATGCGCATTACGTCATCCAAACAGTCACGTGGACAAGAGAAGCCAAGATGCGAGTGGTGCCAATTTTAAATGCCGTTTTTGCCAGCAAAGTTTCAGACTAATCAAAATGTTTTTCTATGACGAGGATGTAAATTCTTATTTAACAGGATTTTGTTTTCAGGGAAGCCACACGAATGACCCAAGAGAGGTCCTATACGGCGGTCCAGTAAAGACGTGTGAAGAAAATGGATGTTTAGAATTTTACGTGTGAAATTCCCTAGAAATTGTCAATGAAATTTAATGCAAATTGATGAATAGCAAAATTTTTGCTTATCTTCAAGTTGACAATTGTGTCTTTTGTCGTCAGTTTTACATGCTAATCTGAAATACTAGTAAGTCAAAATGTTGTCACTGTAGAAAGCTGTATTTTATGATGAAAATTAGCCTCAAGGTAACAAAGCTAAGTGCTACGTAGACCTACATACAGCGGTGTTCAGAGAAAGAGTGTACAGTATCGGAGTGTGTGTGAAAGAGTGAGAAAAGGCGAGATTTTTTTTTTTCTACTATATTCTGTTTGCCAGGTTAAACTCCTCGGATATCAAAATAAAAATATGTGAACGGAGGTGAGAGAGAGAGAGAGAGAGAGAGAGAGAGTTTGTTTGTTTTGTTTTGATTTTATGTTACTCCATTTCTTTTGCCGGGTTAACCCTTAGCACTGAATGTCGAGTCTCCCTGTCTGACTTCAAAACAGAATTGATTGAACCGATGTGCACTTATAGCTTACATTATCGGTCGGGTCATAAGTATATCAACAGCTAGTGTGACCTACATATTCGTTGTGCTCTTTTACCTCAGCACACTGCAAAGTAAACAGTTAGCCTTGAACAACCGATTAAAACCCACTTAGACTTAATAGATAATACCATCACGTTCTATTGGTATCATAATACGGGATTTTCAAAATTAGGTCATCAGCGATTTGTAAAATACAGTTAGAAGTCACCTGCCATGACAAAGAAGACGGATTAAGTGCAACTTGGGTCACTTCCGGGTTGTAGAAAATGACATGCAGGCTGAAGCGAATATGCACCAGTGTAAAGCATAGCGTCTATTTTCAACACGTATTTTCGTTGTCAGCTATTTGTTCTCTTTATTGTCAAAACTTGCAACCCAGGGCTGGCAAGTCGATGTTGAATTATAATGGAGTCGTGGTGGGTTGCGATATGAGCAGAAGTGGAGACCAACAGCACTGAAGAACAAGAGAATTCCAGGAAGGGATCTTTCCAATGGAAAGTTGCTAGTAAGGGGAATTTACAGCAGGCTAAATATAGATCGGAAATCCCAGCGCTTCGAAAGAATGTAGTAGTTAACAATTTCGCATTGGGGAAACTACTCGACCTCGTTGTATACGCTATATATATATATATATTTCAAGCCGAGAGCATTTATTTGTTTGCAGTGACTTGATTCAAGGCGTACATACTGTATTTAAGTTTAACTGACATTACGGTCTTACCGGGTACTTCCCGCAGTTTAATACTATGGACAGTTCTGTACAGCAGGACTCAGGAAAAGCAGGTCTGAAAGATTGACAGGAAAAGAGAATGTACAGCAGCTCTGGGACTGTTTGATTAACCACAACTTATGTGCGTGTGACCGGTGCACATACACTGTATATAACCAAGGTGAATGCGAAAGTGGATATTTTACAGCCGGGTATGAGAGATTATAAAGACTTCCCAGATAAGTAAAAGCACGTCAAACTGATAAGGACCCATATGTGTAATCTATACCCGTGATATAGATTATTGCATAGACTGTCTCTATCTAAAATTCGTACATGACCGCGGGAGTACCTGTGGTTCACATTAAGCTGGTAAGAGGAACTGCCATATAATATAGCACAATTATATTTGATATTTAATTGAGAATGGCAACGGCGTCGAGTAGCAGCGTGTTTGATGGCCATGCGTTCACAACAGCACTTGAAAAAGGTATTCTGAATTGCAAACTTTGCTCCAACGAATATACTGACCCACGTGTTCTTCCGTGTTTCCACTCGTTTTGCGCCGCTTGCCTGATAAAACACACGGGGTATCGACCTTCAGAGTACTTCTCTCTCACCGAAGGATCGTCCCCTCGAAGAGCTCACACATCGAGGCCCCCTATGGTGGAATTTCCGTGTCCTACGTGCGGAGTCTCGACCCCAGTTCCCCGTGGAGACGGCACAGAGAAGGGTGAATTTCCCCAAAATATATTCCTGCAGAAAGTGCAGGCAGC